TATCTTGATCATAGCAGGGAAGAAGCCCAGACACAGAGCAAAGCCAGGCTGGTGTCAGGATGGAGCAGATGTAGGCACAAACAACAAACCTGTGTGCTAGTGTCTTACTAGAGGCAATAATGACTCCTCACTTGTACACAGCCCTGATTTAACTGGATCTTCACAAAAATCCTGGGTGCTAGATGTTATTATCCCCATTTTACACAAGGAGAGGTGAAGCTCAGAAGTGTTAACTGATTTGCCCAAGGACACACAGCTAGTAAGAGGCAACTCTGTTGAATTGTGTTTTAAATTCTCTTCTATGTCTTGGTTACTAGGAAATGGAAGCCCTTCTATTGGGGGGTGGGGGCAGGACACACATGTGTATACACACCATCTCACACACGTACCCACATACATACTCTGAACTCCCAGCCTCCATTGCCTTCTGTCATTAGAGTCACCCTCACCTTCGTTTTAACCCTCCCCATCCCTAGGCAGACACCAGGCAGTCAAGCCATGCTTTTTGTGATCGGTAGAGAAAAGATAATAGAGATGGGATTTGCTGCTTGGACAAGTAGAGAGGCAAGAATGCAACCCCCAGGCAATAGAAATGGGACAAAACCAAACAGGCCAAGCCAGAGAGGCAAGCACATGGTGCAGAGTTGGAAGGCCGGATGTGGGTTAGTGATGGAGCAGAGGAGGGCTTTCCCTCTGAATAAGACCCTCATTTTCCACATGTCCAGTCCTGCACCCACCTTCGCTGTGGAGGTTGGCAGAGAAGGAGCAGCCTATGCCAGCCCTGGAGTTTCCTGTTCCCAATGGTCAGCAATTCCCAACAGAGGGGGGCAGCAGAGGGCTGATCTAGGACCCCACATACCTGAGGCCTTGTTCCAAGGCTTGAGGGGACTGGCCGGAGCCTGGCCCAGTCTAGGGAGAGGTTGCTTGGTCTTGACCTCTCCTCTTTTCTCAGCAGGCCTATCTCTCTTCACAGCTTTCCTGTTGGAGCATCACTGTTGTCTGGTGGGGAAGGTATTCTAGCAGCTCAACAAGTGGAACAGACCCTCTGGAGGTCACACAACTAGAGACCCTCCAGGCTAGGACCTGATTGTCCTGGCTGTCAGCCCCTGCCCTGCCATCACCTCTCTGCTCTTTGAGCCAGATTTGCCCTGTGTAAGACTGAGGGTAGGGTCAGGGCCCCCTCCCCTCCCTGCCGTCCTCCTGCCCCGGGGGATACCTGCAGCAGGCGAAGCAGCGGAGGTGGCAGGCACGCCAGGGGCTGGCGTGGCGGGCGGGAGGTGCGGTAATGAATGTGGACGGGAGGCGGAATGAGCGATCCATCTTTGCATGGGAGGGGAGGGGGCTGCGGGCGTCCCCCCCACACACTCACGCACTCAATCAGGCGCTGTCAGACCTCCGGCCGCCTGGCATTTTGGTGAAGAATCTCTCAGCTAAAAATTGTTGTCAGTCCCATTTCCTCGTTATCAGCGCAAGGGCTGAGGCAGCGCCCGGGGATTAGCAGGAGCGCCGAGCGCCGCACCCGCCATCCGCGCGCGATAACACCGGGCCTCCCGCCTCACCTCCCCCATTCATCATCTTTAGCACTGACAGCCCTGCCCGGTCCCTGTCCCCATCCCTCGTGCTTCCCGCCGCTCTCCCCACTGTGCTGCTCAGCCTGGCTCCTGAAGAGGGACAGGATTCAACCTAGGCCTACGGGACCTAGACCCACCTGTGGCAAAGAGCTTGGCCAGCTATTGGGTGGGGGGTGTCCTGGCAGAAGTGAGGAATGCTCAAGGAGAGGATGCCTTCTTACAGCAGGCCTCTGGTGTGCTCGGTGCGCCCACCTGTGTTGCTGCCAGCTGTACTAGAGAAGGATTCCCGTGTCAGGTGGGATTCTGGGAGCCCAGCCAGCCTGAGATGGACTCCCAGATTCTGAGAACTATGGAAGGGAAAAGCCAGGGATGCCTCCTTCCAAGCCTAGGGAGAGTAGGGGGTTGAGAGCTTCGTTCTCACCCTAGTAAGACCACAGCCCCCTCCACTTGGCCATCCCCAGCAGTTTTATGGCCCATTTTATGGCCACTGTAATGGCCCAGGTCAAAAGCTTCAGGGAGCTGTATTCTGGGAATTATGCAAACGAGGAGCAGGCCCAGGGCCAGAGTATGGATTTTGTCATTAAACCTGGGCAGGCCATGTCGTTAGTGCAGTAAAACCCACGTCACGACCACAGGTCTCAATATAAAATTATAGGGAACACAGCGGGGGAGGGGAAGAACGGGGCCCATGGCCATGCTGACACCTGCCACTCTAACCCCTGAGAAAATGGGGTGGGATGGAGGTCACAGGCTGCAGGGTCCCTCTGCTGATCCCTGTCAATGCTATTCTTGAAGCCAGGAGCCAGGTAGAGGGCCCATTGTCCGGATAGAGAAAGTGAGGCCAAGATCAGAAATGTAGAATGTCTCCATGGCAGCAAAGCAGATGAACTGAGAAGAGGCATATGGGAATGCTGATGCCTGGGCCCCAGGCTTGGAGAGAAGAATCTGGGCTCCAGGAAGCTCTAAGAGCCATGCTTGGTGTCCCACGCTAAAGGGGGCTGAACCCCTGATATTTCCACCTCGGCTCAGACCCTGTGTCCTGGAGCCTCCTCTTTCTCCATTCCCCTCTCTTACCGTTTCCCCTTTTATACCCCAGACCCTGCCTCAATGATCTGTTCCAACAACTTTGTTGGCTCTCCCTTGCTCATCCTTCATGCCTCCCATTAGCATTACCTCCCCTGTGCACACTCTGCTGTCCCTCCTCCAGTCCCCCTGCCCTCCCACAGAAACCCTCAGCTCCTGCCTCCCTCATAGCTCTGACCTGCACCAACTGGAGTCATCAGCTTTCTTTTTTGGCTTTCCCACTAATTTTTTATCTCCTAGAGGCTAAGAATGTGTTTAATTTATCTCTGAGCTCCAGTTTCTCCTAGAATAATCCCTGACATAGGGCAATTGTTTAGTAAATGCTTGCTGAATGAACAAATAAATGAAGCAATAAAATCAAGAGCCAAGTCCAAGGGGTCATGTCCAGTTCTGAGCCTCAATTTCCCCATCTGTAAAATAAAGATAATGGCCTGGAGAATTTCTAGGGTCTCATTCACTGCTGAGATTCTCTGGCTGAGTGAAGTTAGGGGCAGAGCTGAGACTTGAATCCTCATCTCCCATCTCTCAGCCCAGGACCACATCTGCTTCTTTTACTCAGGGCTGCCTTCCAGCTGTCCCCTGAGCATCTGAGGCACAGCCACCAAGGCACATGATCGGTAGGACCTCTTCCTCTCCTCAGAGACCTAGCCACCCAGACTGGAGCCACACCCACCCCACCCTGGCACACCACAGCTGACATCCCAGCTCTGCGAAGGTTATCTGGCTTCTAGGACAATCTATTCTTCCTCCCTACCCTTCTTCCTTCCCTTCCTCTTTTCATCTCTCTTGCTACATTATCGAGAATCTTGCCTATGCCATGCCTGCTATAAACTGTTTATAAATATAAAGATGATGAAAAAGAAATGGTCCTGTCCCATTTCAGTATTAAATACAGTGGTCAGAGTGGGCCTCATTGAGAACGTGAGGAAGTGAGCCTAAAAACAAAAAAATGATCCCTTCCCATAAGGAACTCACAACTTTTTCAGTAACTCATTCATTTGCTCCCATCCTCTACCTGGTATACTTCTAAGGTGCAACTTAAATTTCACTTTGGTGAAGGCCTTTTCTTTTTTCCACTCCTCGAAACACACACAGAATGAACTGCTCCCTCCTTTGAGCCCTCAGATGACTCCATCTGTGCATACAGGGGATCCGTAATCATCCTTGGTCTTGTGTCAAAGGGAGGTGGGTTCTTGGGCTCGACCTGAACTGGGAGCTCCCTCAGTTATAGGGTTGCTAGATTTAGAAAATAAAGCTACAGGACATCCAGGTAAATTTGAATTTTAGAAAAACAATGAATAATTTTTAGTATAAGTATGATTCACACAATATTTGTGACATACTAAAAAAATATTCATTGTTTACCTGAAATTCAAATTTGACTGGGCATCCAGTATTTTATCTGGCAGCCCTGCTCAGGCAACCATCTTGGTCACCACTGGCATGGCATTTATCTCTCTGAAAGCTGATTTTGCCCCTCTCCATGTACCAGTGGGAAGAATAAGATGGGAAGGAAATCTGGGCTCAAGATACAGAAGTCCTTCCTACAGTCAGAGTATCCATGGATAGGCAGGGATGTTCCAGATGAACAGGGCTCCTCAACCCCATGCCTGTAAACAGAGACTAGGGGAGCACTGGGTGGGGAGAGTAGCAAGGAGTGGACTTAAGCACCCAGTGGGAGTAATATTAGGCGAACTTCAGGCTCCTTCCTAGCATGCTTACCGTCAGTGAGAGACTGGGGAATAGAGTTCAGGCTCCCAGCCAGCCCCCAATGTGCTGTATTGGGGGTACACAATTTGAAGGGTATTTTGGAGGGAGAGAGCCTGGAATTAGTGAGAGTCACAAAAGGCCAATGAGGTTACCCAAGTGAGAGGTAGTGAGACTGAACGGAGAAAATATAGATTCCAGGAATACTGAAGAAACAGAATGGACAGGACCTGGTGGTTAAATGAATGTTGGAGGGATGGGAAGGCAGGAGAAAGGGCCTGCAGTGAGGCTAAGATGACTGGCTTGGGTGACGAGGTGAATGAAGGTATCATAACTGACATGGACACTGCTGAAAGGGGAGTGGGTTTGGAAGGGGTGAAGAACGCAACTTTGGATTGTTGAGTTTCAGATACTTATGAGACATCCAGGCATTGATGTCCATTAGGCATTTGGATATAGGGATGTAGAGAACACAGGAGGGACCCAGGGTAGAGACAGAGTCTGCAGTCAACAGGGCACAGGTGGGAGTTATGGCCATAAGAACAAACACGATCATCCAGCATGCAGAAAGAGGAGAACAGAGGCTGAGGACAGAACCTTGGGGAAAAGTGAGGAGCTGGAAGAGAATGCTACCCTGGAAGTCACCTGGTCTTTTTGGTGTTTCCCACTCAACTATGAGGGCCTCAAGGGCAGGGACTAGATGGGATTCCATTCTGTGTCCCCACTGCTGGGCACTGGGCCTGGTTCAGACTAGAATATTTGTTGAGTGACTGCAAGAATGAATCTCCCTTCTCCCTCTTTTTCTTCCTTCTCCAGATCTGGGGAATGTGAAAGCAGTGAGAAAGGAGAGAGGCAGAGGGGACAGTGGGTACTCTGGGTAATGGTATGATCAAATGTGTATGGAGTGGAGTCCTCCAGGTTTGAATTTGTTGAGTGACTGCAAGAATGAATCTCCCTTCTCCCTCTTTTTCTTCCTTCTCCAAATCTGGGGAATGTGAAAGCAGTGAGAAAGGAGAGAGGCAGAGGGGGCAGTGGGTACTCTGGGTAATGGTATGATCAAATGTGTATGGAGTGGAGTCCTCCAGGTTTGATTGCACAGAGCACCGATTTTGTCCCAGTAGATTTCTGAGAGGAGTGGCCAGCTGAGAGGCACCATTCATGGCCACAGCCTCTGGGGCTGCAAAGAGGAGTGATGTTCATGGGCTCTGAGACCCTCAGGCTTACCCTTCCTTTAGGCCAAGATGCCCTTGGGGCAGCAGCAGGCTTGGGTTGGAGGACTGGGACATGGTTTCCCTCCCTGGACTAGCTCAGCTTATGTGTCTGTCTGCTCCTCTTCCTTCACCAGGTAAGAAGAAAGCAGCAGCACTGTTTGACAGCCAGGCCCCTATTTGCCCCATCTGCCAGGTCCTGCTGAGGCCCAGCGAGTTGCAGGAGCATATGGAGCAGGAACTGGAACAGCTGGCCCAACTGCCCTCGAGGTAAGCCACCCACTGGGAGAACCTGCCTGCCACAGAATCCCACTCAGGGTTCTAACCACCAGGTCCCTGGAACAGCCACCGGGGCCACAGCCCAGCCTCTAGGTAGAAAAGATCTGCTGCCATTTCCCACTACTCTGTTTTCAATGCTCACATCCTCCAGCTGAATGGTGCTGCCTCTTCTTTCTCTATTTTTAGAGATGGGAGGAGAGTGACCCCTAAGGCCCTGGCACAAGAGGAGCTGGACAAGGGATGATCCACTGCCACAGGCCCAGCACTGCCATGTTGAGCCTCAGAGCAGGATAGAAGGAGCAGGTGCTGGGCCTGGCAGCGCCTTCAGACGTACCTGGTCCTGGGCTGGACTGTGGCTCACTCAAGAGAGTGTGGTGCTGATAACACCAAGGCCTTGGGTTCGGATCTCTTTATAGGGATGGCCATTTAGCTCACTTGGAGAGCGTGGTGCTGACAACACCAAGTCAAGGGTTAAGATCGCCTTACTGGTCATCTTTAAAAAAAAAAAAAAAAAAAAAAGTACCTGGTCCTGCCATCTAGGGGAGTGAGCACTGCCTTCTCCATGAATCTCAACGTCTGAAAGTGACAATCTTGAGCATGCACTCAGGCGTGTTCCTCACTGTCCCACCCCACCTCACCCACAGCCTTCCCTCCCTTGTCCCTGCCTAAAGACTGGGGTGAACCTTCTCCAGGTCTTGTGGAGGAGCCAGGTTACCAAAGGGAGCAGAAGAGGGCATCACAAATTACCTCAAATCTTAGCAGTTTAAGTAGCCATTTCATCATGCCCATGGAATCTGTGGGGTCAGACACACAGGGGATGGCTGTGTCTGCTCCAGCATGTCTGGAACCTCAGCTGGGAAGACTTGGGAGCTGGAATCATCTGGAGGCTCCTTTGCTCACACGTCAGGTGGTTAATGCTGGCCATCAGCTGGCACCTCAGCAGGGGCTGAGACCAAAGCCCCTACACATGGCTCCTCCATGTGGCCTGGGCTTCCTCACAGCATGGCAGCCTCAGAGTAGCTGGACTTCTTACACAGCAGCTTAGGCCTACAAAAGCCAGTGTTCCAGCCAGTGAGATGGAGGCTGGTTCACCTTTTATAAACTAGACTCAGAAGCCACTTAATGTCACTTCCACTGTACTCTATTGATCAAGGCAGTATTAGCCCACCCAGATTCAAGGGGAGGGGACATACACCCCCTTTTGATGGGAGGAATGGCAAGGTGGTATTATAGAAGAGCACATGGGATGGGACATGAAGTTGCAACCATCTCTGGAAAATAGTCTGCCATGGGGTGAATAGCCTGCCCCACTACTCCCAGCCCCAGCCCTTGTTCAGTTCAAGTCATTTGACTTCACCAATCCTCCTTCCTCCTTCCTTCTCATCTAAGCCCCTAGGCGAGGTGCAGGGGATCCACTGGTGAATCAGAAACGGTCCCTGCCCTCCGAAGTTCACGGGATGACAGTAAGAACAGTCAGGCAATACTAACCTGAGGGATAGAGATGGCTCTATCGGAAGAACTGAAGCCGTGGGGTGTCAAGAGGCCACCAAACCCAGCACAGAGCAGAGAAGGCTTCCTGAGGGAGGTGAAGCCTGAGCTGAATTTTGAAGAAGTATTAATCATCTATTGCTATGTTACAAATTACCCAAAACCTAGCAGCTTAAAACAACAAAGATTCATTATCTCCATTCCTGTGGGTCATCAATTCAGGAACAGCATAGCTGAGTGGTTGTGAGTAGTTGTGTCTACTGGCTGGGAGTCTCTCATGAGGCTGTGGTCGTCTGAAGGTCTGATTGGAACTGCAGGAGCCTTTCCACAATACTCACTCACATGGCTGTCAGCAGGAGGCCTCAGTCCCTCCACATGCAGGTCTCTCCACAGGGATGCTTGAGTTTCCTAGGACATGGCAGCTGACTACCCACAGAGCATGCGATCCAAGAGAGAGACCAAGCAGGAAGCCACCATGCTTTTTATGATCTAGTCTGGGAAGTCACGCACCATTGCTTCCACTGTATTCTATTCTATTCATTAGAAGCAGGTCACCAAGACCAGACCATATTTGAAGGAGGGCAATGAAGCTTTATAATTTACCTTTTAAAGGGAGGAGTATCAAAGCATCTGTGGGCATAGAAGACTATACTACTGATAAGAATAATAACTCTTGTTGAACACTCACTATGCGCCAAGTACTTTACATTGCATGTATTAATTTAATCTTCACAAAAACCTCTGAGGTAGGTGATAATTATTACCCCCATTCTACAGATGAAGAAACTGAGGTGCAGAGAGGGTTAAGTGACTTTTCTAAGGTTTCACAGCTAGTAAGTAGCAAAGACGAGATTCATACCTAAGCAATCTGAATCCCGTGCTCATGCTCTTAACCACTCCCCTCTCCCGCTCCAAACACACATACACCACACACACACACACCACACACACACACACCACACACACACACACAACCCCCCACACACACCACACACACACACACACACACACCACACACCACACCACACACACACACACACCACACACACACACACACCACACACCTGGGATTAGCCGCCTAATCTTGGCTGTCCAGGACAGGTTCTGTCATTTGCTCCCGGTGGAGGACTTCTCCCTAACAGGATCCGAGAACAGGGCAGAGATGGAGGGACCCGCTGAGCCTGATAAAAGTGGTGTGTCCGTAAGGGTCGGGAGAATGGGGGCCCTGAGCTCTCTGTCTGCCTCCTCAGCGGGGGCCACACTACAACCTAGTCCTGGGCCCCACACCTGCCCGCCCAGGGCATCCACTTCTACCAGACAGCCTTCCTTGTTCCACCGCACCCCCTGCCATTTGTGTGACCCTGCACGATCCCTCATCCCCCACATCCTGTCAGGGCGACCCCTGCTTCCACACCCTTACCCCCATGTCCATTTCTCCTCCCCTCCAGAACTGCCACCTCTGCTCCACACCCCTCACTGCCGTATCTCGCGTCCCCTCATCTGTGCCCTCACGTCCGGGCCCAGCCCAGCACCCCCTACACGCGTGCCCCCTCCGTGCGTGCACACCCCCAGCCCCCCACCCGGGTGTCTGACAGCCGGACAGCGGGATCTGCACAGCAAGTGAAATTCCCGTCGGATCGATAAAGCCGAAGCGCTGGCGGCGACGGGTCGATGGTTTTATCTGTCTCGGCCCCGCCGCGCCCGGCGCTGACAGTCGGACCGGCCGGCAAAGGCGTTCAAGGGCAGCCGCGCCCGCGCCCTCCCCTCCCCGCGGCCGCTGCGCCCACCGGACTGCAGGCTGGACCGGCCCGCCGCCGCCCTCGTGATTTATCTGGATTTTTAATTGGAAAAAATTTGCGAATTAATTGATTTCAGGAACTTGCCAATTAACATTGTAATTGGGTGCGTGATAAATTCCCAAGGAGCGTGTCAGCTCCCTCCGGGCTGACGGCCGCGCGGGCGGGCGGCGCGGGGAGGGCCCCAGCCTCGGCCGCCCTTGCCCCGCCCCTGGCCGGCCTCTGGAATGCAGGAGGAGAGCAGAAGAGGTTAGGAAAAGGTGCGACACTGCGGGTGTCCTGAGACCTCCTGTGCCCTCCCCTCCCCTCCATCAGCTCCCTGAGTAAGGAGGGGCCTTAGACCAGCCATTTCACAGATGAACAAACTGAGTTCTGCAGGAGGGCAGAGCTGGTGTGTGCATCACTCGGAGAGTTAGAGTTGCGGGCAGAGCCCAAATGAGGGCATCCCAACCCATGGCTTGTGGCAGAGGCTTCCACCCCAGCTCTCCAATCCTCTCCTCTCCCTCTGCTCCAACTCCCTTCTCCCCTCTGCTCCTCTCCCTCCTTTCCCCTGCTGGCTCTTCCCCTCTTCTCTCCAACTGTCCCCTTCCTTCTGTTACCCTGCTTTTGTCTCTGCAGCCCTCCCTGACCCTTCCTCAGTCTAGTGAGCTCCTGGGTCTGTGGATGCCGCCACCAAGGTGCCCTCCATCAACTGGGACACATGTTCCTCCCCCTTACCTAGTTGCTCCCTGAGGAGCTCTCCAGGGTCAGCCTTGTGTTCTGCCTTCTGCCTCCCTCTGCCCAGTAGCACAAGCAGGCCCTGGGAGCAGGCTGCTAATTCAGACACCCAAGGGCTCACAGGAAGAAGCAGGGGCCTTGCAGTCCCCAAGTTAGGGCTGGCTGGTTTTCACAGACACAGGCACTAACATATACACATGAGACACAGATGTACACATACCCTCCTTCCAACACACAGATGTGCTCACACACACAACCTTGAAAGAACCACCTTCCCACAGGTATATAGGCACACTAACACTTAACAGGAAGAGCAGTCAGAACTCCCTCTGGCAAAGCACACTTTTCCAAGTGCTTTGACAGTTAAGATCAGAGGCTATATCCACACTCTCCCTCACCCCATCCTCTATCTTCCTCTTCTCAGCCCTGCACGAGGGCTCCATTCGACCCCAAAACTTGGCCAGTTAGAAAAGGACAAAGTTAGATGGAACAGATTGTTGAGGGTCTTCAATGCTGGAGGGTGTCCTAGATGCGGGGGGCAGGGGGATAATACATTCATTTGCCAGGATGGAGCTTGATGGGAGAGAGAGGAGCTGCGGGAGAACGGCTCTGCAGGCCAGGGTGGAGTATGGGTTGGGAGCAGAAGCAGGGAAGCAAATGAGGAGGTTGGGCAGGGCCCAGGGGAAGATGGTACAGCTGACCTAAGACAATGGCAGTGGCAGTGGGGATGCAGAAGAGGGAATGATGAGAGTCTGGTGGAGGAAGAAGAAGGAAGCCTTACCCGAGGCACTCACTAGGAGGAAGCTTTCTGTCTGAGATGACTGGGAAGGTGGTGGTGGCAGGTGTCTGAGGGATGGAGGAGACAGCAGACAGGGCTTTGGGCATGCTGAGCCTGAGGTGCCTCTGGGATGGTGGTGGGGTAGGGACTGGATGTGTGCAGAGAGACAAGCAGAGACATAGATGGAGGCCGAAGATTGAAGGACAGATCAGGGGGCTGGCCCCCAGACTTCTCTGTGGCCCTCAAGCAGGAGTTTCCACCCAGAGCGAGGAAGGAGCCTTGGACATGGAGAGATTGCACAAAGCTGAAAGTGGGGCTTGGCTCAGTGGGGCCTGAGCTTAGAAATCTTCTTTAGGAGGCTTCCAGAGCCACTGCAAGATCTGGCCTCTGGGTTGGGAAGCCAACTCTCTGGCCAGTGCTTTAAGAGAGCTGAAAGAAACCAGAGGGAGGCTGGGTGGCTCTAGGGGAGAGGCGGGGTGTGGAGATGGCAGTGCCCCCACCCCCACTTAAGCCTTATTTAAGGCCGGCCTCGGTGTTTGGTTGGGTAATGAACTAGATAAACAATTCCCCAAATAGATTAAAACGAAGTGTAACTTACAAAGGCGGCTGGTGATGATGGTTTATTCCCGGGCAGCGCACCATTTCTTTATTTCCAAGGATAATTCAGTGTAAATCACCTTAATTAAAAGTGTCAGCCCAGCCCATGAATATTGTACTTAGGAACGCGTTTCCTGGGTCCCAGTTATAATTTAAAACCCATGGATCACTAGGCAGCAAGAGACTGAGCAAAGGAGGAAATCGTTGGGGGCGGGCTGTGGAAACAGGGAGGGACGGAAGGCAGAGCTGATGGGCTGGGCGGGAGCCAGGCTGCCTGCAACTCCAGGGCTCAGGCCTCTCTTCTCCAAGATAGGCCCTTCACCAGACTCCTCAGTCTCTGGGGGACCAAGCAAACTTGGAGGTGATTGGGTTGATGGAGGAAAGGGAGGGGACCCTTTCTCCAAAGAGAGGGAAGGAGTCTGAGGCAGGATCAGTCCCATGCAAGGGAAAGGGAAGAGCACTTCCTGAAAAAGATCCAGAGGTCTGTTAGCAAAGTGAGCGCCTGAGCATTCCGACTCTGAATGTCCCCATTTCTATTCACCAGCAGTGTAACTTAAAGCCCAGAGTCAGCAGGACCCTCCTCAAAGTCGCACAGCAAGCAGAGAAAAAAAAAAAAACTCAGAGTTCTGCCCTCTAGCCTAAGCCCTGAAAACTTGAGGAAGGCAGCATGGGCAATTAAAAATCAGTACTTTGCACTTGATCAAACACAAACTCAAATCCCAAACACTCCGTGGACTGTCTGATCATAGAGGTGTCACTTAACCTATTAGTCAATTTTGTAAAGTTTTTGTGAAGATTCAGTGAGATAACGCATATAAAGCTTGTGCTTGTCATATACTAGTGCAGTGGGTACCCAGTAATTGTTCATTCCTTCCTTTTCTGTTCTCATCTGATCCAACTCAGATAATACAGTATATTATACAGCATTATACAGAAGATGGCCTCATTTCTGTACCTGTAGGTCAGAATTGTGATGTCAGCACCTGTTCACTGAGTGAATGAAGGAGTGAAGGAGTGATGAAAGTCATTCACTCACAAACTAGTTGCTCCTCAAGAGCAGTAAAGTTTCCTCTCTGTATCCCCAGTACCTAGATCAGGGCTGGGCATGGACCATTTATGAACAAAATGTAGTTAAATGGAACCTGTTTTGGCTGTCCTTCCTAGTCTATGATGCCCCCATTGTGTGATTAGACTGGCAGATAGCTCTGTTTTCATATTCAGTCTTGGCCTTCCCTGCTGTTAAGCCTGGTGGCCCCAGCACTGCAATATATGTGTGTTTGTATGAGTGCCTGTATGTGTCTATATTTGTAGGTGCATGTGTGTCTGGGTGTGTTGGTGCATGTGGGCATCTATAGCTATGCATGTGTTTATGTGGACTTGTGTATATGAGCAACTTTTCATCCAGTCCATGTGGCTGCTGTGAATTTGTCTTTATGGACATGTCTCTGGGAATATGACTCTATGGCCCTGTGCATCTATCTGTATGCATGTCTGAGTCTCCGTATGTGACTGCATGTATCTGTGTGCCTGTTGGCAGACTTATAAAGAGTCTGTGGATAGGTGTGTATCTGCCTTTATACCAGGGTTTCTCAACTTCGGCCCTATTGCTATTTCAGGGCACGTAATTCTTTGTTGTGAGGAGCTGTCAGTACACTGTGGGATGTTCAACATCCTCTACCCACTAGATGCCAGAAACAATGTCCCCTCCCTCCACCCAAGTTTCAACAATCAAAAATGTCTTTAGACATTGCCAAATATCCCATGGGCAGACAAACATCCCTTCTTCCTCTCAGTCCTCGTTGAGAGCCACTACTTGATCCAAATCTGACGTGTTTGCCCTTGTATATTGGGTGTGTGTTTCTGGCCCCGTGGGTGCCTGAACACACCTGTGGGTGTTCCCCATGTATACACTCGGTAAGTCTGTATGTGCTCCCTGAATTCTGCCTTGGGTGTGTGTCTGTGTGTCTTTTGTGCTTTCTGGTTATACCTGTGGCTGTACTCCACACGTGCACCTTGTATGTGTATCTGTGCAGGAGCCCTATATGAATGGGGTGTGTTGGCCTCTGTGCATGAATCAGCTAGCACCTCTTTGTACATGTATTTGTGTGTGTGTGTGAGTGCATGCACATGAATGTGTGAGCACAGATGTGGTGAGCATAGCGGGGGCAGCAGGCGGGGAGGGACAAGAACAGGGATATTAATGTTTCTGAAGTGGATCTGATTTGATACGTCTTGTTCCATTGTCAGCATCTGTTTAGCAGGGATTTGTAATACTTTGTGGCTCTGGATCACTCATGCTTAGCGCGGGATGTGGCCTTGCATACCAATTTTGTTATTAAACACAGTCCTTGCCTCCCCACAGCCTATCCATCACCTCCCACCCCAGCCCCCTCCTGCTCTGAGCCGCCCACCATATTTCAGGGCCCAGCTCCCGCCCGCCTGCTGCTCCCAATGCCAGAGGGCCTGGGGCTGACAAATTGAATCAGGGGGAGATCATTCCTGGCCTAACACAGTTTGCAGCATGTTGGAGGGAGAATTGACAAGAGCCATGTCAGCTCCATCATCCCAATCCCATAGGAGCTAAGAGCAGGTTGGGGGCAGGGGTGGAGAAAAGCGGGCCTCCAGAACAGGCAGAATCTTCAGGGCTGAGACCAGGAGTCAGGTAAAGCCCCTTTCCTCAGATCCACTGAGGAGTCCACCATGCCTAGTGTCTGTGTACCCCTCCCAGTGGCCAGCACTGGCTTTGGCTCCTGATAGAGGCTGAGATAGGCCAAGCCACTGGGGTTGAATGGACTGGGTGGAACTTGACTAAGCTGGGCTGGGCTAGCTGGCTATGTCTTCTCTCTTTGCAGTCTTCTTGCTACTCTACCCTTGCATGCCCTGGGCAGCAGGTGGAATGGTCACCCTGTTCTCTTCTTTCTTGGCAGCAAGAATTCCCTTCTGAAGGATGCCATGACTCCAGGCACCCCCAAGGTAGGTGGCCAACTATGTGTTTTCCTCCTGACCATCCTAAACTAGGTCTACCCAGAACTGGTTTCTTCTGAAAAAAAGGAGCTCTTCCTGGATCCCCAACTGTCTGCAGGGTTTGAACATCGGCCCAAGGCTTAGGATTGCTGTGTGTGTGCATGCATGCATGTGTGCTCTGTGCACGGGTGAGGGTTGCTCGTCTCCCTTCCTCCTCTTCTAGCCAGGAGAGGGGTCAGAGCCAAGCGTGGCCTGGGGAGTGTGGGCAATTCAGACAGTAGGGCTGCGGAGACTCAAAGGAGGAAGGTGAGCTGTAGCGGGGGAAGAAAAATATAGAAATGAAGGTCAAGACAGACAGTGAAGGGCCTTAAAAGCCAGGCCATGGAGTGTGTGTGCATATGTGTGTACATTGTCCTGAAGGCAATAGGAGCCAGGGCAGTTGCCCGGGGGAAGAAAAATATAGAAATGAAGGTCAAGACAGACAGTGAAGGGCCTTAAAAGCCAGGCCGTGGAGTGTGTGTGCATATGTGTGTACATTGTCCTGAAGGCAATAGGAGCCAGGGCAGTTGCCGGGCTCATTTGGGGAGACAGTCTGCCCCTCTGAACAGACACTATGGGAGAGAGACTTGAAAGCATCTAGATGGAGTAAGGACACGCGAGGAGCAAGTATCTGGCTCAAATGAGGGGCCAGAGAGGCCTCAGCACAATGACATAATTTGTACCAAGAACTCTTCACAGGTGGCCACAGAGACACTTGATACTGCTTTCCCAAAGGTGAAGATTTGGAAGGGATGGAGACCTGGGGAGGAGAACTGAACCCTCACTCACTGAGTACCCCCTTCCCCACCCCTCGGTATAAGGTTGCATCCTTTCTTAGAAGTTCTCACAATAACTCAGAAAGGCAAGAATCTCCTAAGGGAGAGTGTATGGACAGATTAGAAAAAGCCAAGAGGAGAATCTGGGGGTCTCCTGCATTTAGAGTCAAGATAAGGTACAAGAGGCAGGGAAGGAGACAGAACAGGAAGAGTCAGCAAGTTAGAAGGGACACAGGAGAGCAGAGTAGCCCTGGATCCTAAGGAGAAACGTTTCCAAATGTGTGGGGTGGTCAGCAGTCAAATACAGAAAGGCTGGAGAAAGGACCCATTGTATTTAGAAGGCTTAAAGTCACTGGTGACCTCTGAGAGGGCAGTTTTGGGAAAAGGGCCCAGAGTGACAAATATCACCTCCATGGGTTTAACCCAAGTACCCTGCATGCCTTTAAAAAGGATGGGAGTGGACTTTGCACCTTCATTCAGGAAATTTCTCAGTTGCAGCAAGCTGGGAGAGGAAGAACAGAGAACCTAGCCCAGCATTGGATTGGTGTAGGCCCTGACCAAGGAGGCGGAGCCCTCCCCACCCTAAGGAGAGCAGGTGGGGGAGTGCCAGGCAGCTGTGGACTCATGGAGGTAGGGAGCCACACTCACCCAGCACAGCCCAGCCTGCAGCATTGAATGATGTGATTAGGGAAGGTCATGGACAAGCTTCCAGGTTACCACAACTGGTGACATCTGACACCTGAGCAGGGATGGTAGGGATGGGGACTTGGACACCAGTGAGGCCTGTGTTCTAAAGACAAACCCCTGGCAGATACAACGTCCATACCTAGCTCCCCATATACACAGACCCACACATACCCAGGTCAGAACACACACACAGGAAGTCTTAAACATGTGCAGAGTCCTGCAACTGCAGACACAGGTATATTGATCATCAGAATGCAGAGACAAGTGCTCACTCACTTTCAGATATATGCTCACACCCCCAAAGCTGAACAGTTCAGTCTATCCTCTCCCTTGACCTAGGCTTTAGGGAAGCAGGTCATGAGTATAAGAGGTGGGAGGTGGAAGGTTCAAGCAAGAGACTGAGAGGACAGAGAGAAGGAGGGAGGGAGGAGGAGGAGAAGGCAAAGGGGCCTTAGACAAGATTGATGGCCTCGTTGCCATTAAGAAAAAAATTAGCCGGTGGCGGCTATCATATTAAAGGGTGAAGAAGCCGTGAATTATTTTCTTAAAGATCTTATCGCTTACAATGATAATTTTACCTTCCAAAAGGCCACTTTTAATGAGGCGAAGAGCCAGGCAAAAAGTCATGATTTAATGCCGGGATTTTTTTTTCAAAACACATTTTACTGCTTTTTGGTCCATGTTTAAAAAGCGCTAGTGACCTTTTTTTATTCCACTTGCCCCAGGTGTAATGCTGAGGCCTCTCAGGGCTTCTAACCTAGAGAGAATGAGAGAGGGGGAGAGAAAGCAAGCATGCAAGCATGAGCTTTCTCGTGGCATCGGGGGTGGGGGGAGGGCTATGCATTTCCCCTCCTCAGCATCTTCCTTGGGACCAGAGAAGGACATTGCCTGAAAGCACTTCCTTTCTGAGCTGGGGGCTGAGTCACCTACTAGGCCTCCCATGGGCTTAGGTGGGTGAAGCAGGAGCTCCAAGTTGCAGGGAATCCCACCCAGGCCCTCTCCCCTCCTCCAGCTCCTGGGGTGTGGGTGGGTCAGGGAGCCCTGCCAGACCAGCAGTTGCCCCTTCCCTTCCCAGGGCCCTTGGCTGAGGATGTGCAGCTTGGCCACAGCATGCGGGTCACATCCTAAGGCTCAGTCGGAGATGAAGGATAAATGGCTGCTCCATCTTTCCCAAATTGCTTTCTTTGGGCTGTCACTAGCCATTTGGCATGGTTTTCTAGGCTGGGGAAGACTCCCAGGGAATCGTGTGTTTCTGGCTCAGAGCAGCGCTGGCTGGAGAAAGTGGGGGGTGAGCCGGGGGAAGGAAGCACGGATTGCTTTCAGGCCTCCAGGCCCCCAGTTTGCAGCTGAACCGGCCTTGGCGAGAGCTGGCTCTCAGGCTGAAAGTGCCATGTGGTATTTAGAATTGTGGTGCTTGCACACAATTTCAAGCAGACAGTTTATTAATCTAAACTGCAGGCATATGTAGAAAAGGCCGTGTAGGATTGACACAGGGGGATTAGTTTTGCTGGGGTTTTTGCTGGGGTCATTGCCACAGTATAGGGATAAATGGACCCAGTGTGCATCCCTAGCCATGTGCAGGAAACTCATATATACTATTTAATTTACTGTCTCCATAGTGGGGCTGGCACCAGCCTGTATTAGGGGCAGGCAGGGTGGCAGGTATGTGGTTTTAGCCCCAATTCTTCCTGGGGATCCCAGAGTCTCTGCTTTCTAAGGGAGAACAAAGCATATATAGTCTCAGCCCACTGGAAGTGGACTGGGGTCCTACCCCACTGGGACAGAGATTAGCCTAAGCAGGGGCCAAGGAGGACTCCCTCGGGTGATCTCTACCCATCCCTAAAATCAAGCCATCCTCTCCCACAGTCACACTCCTGGGGCTTGACCACATGTCTTCAGAATCTCAAGAATGAGAATGGTCCATCTATCCCCCTGCCCTCCTCTCTGCCTAACTCCCCAAAGCTCCATGGGACTGGGAACTCTAGGGGACTGACTCATTTGGCCTGAGGCCACATGTCCTTTTTCTTCTTCCAGTCCCTCCTGTTGTCTGCTTCCATTAAGAGGGAAGGAGAGTCTCCGACAGCGTCACCACACTCATCTGCCACTGACGACCTGCACCACTCAGACAGATACCAGGTGAGGAGGGCGAGGCACATGGCCATGAGAAGTAAGCTCTCCTGGGTGGGAGCTTCAAGGTCATGCCTGGTGCTAACTCCTCCCAGAGGAGAGGCCTGAACTGTGTTTGGTTCCCCCGGTATCTAGTGCCCCTGAGGAAACTCAGAAGGCACAGGGATCAGGGAATGAGCTTTAAATAGGTGGATTTTAGGGAGAGATACCAAATTTTACTGCTCTGGTGGGCTGGCTCTGAGCACCTCTGAAGCATCCTACCCATCAGTTAAGTATTCTATGGGATTTGGTTTCGTAAAGGACCCAGAGACATAGCCCAGAATCACCCAAAGATTTCAGACATCAAAAGCAGGATCTTGGGGGCCAGCCCATGGCTCACTCAGGAGAGTGTGATGCTGATAACACCAAGGCCACGGGTTCGGATCCCATATAGGGATGGCAAGTTAGCTCACTGGGTGAGCACGGTGCTGACAACACCGAGTCAAGGGTTAAGATCCCCTTACTGGTCATCTTTTAAAAAAAAAAAAAAAAAGCAGGATCTCTTGAGCAAAAAACCATTCAGTCCTGTCAAACCCTGATATCAGGCCCAGTTAGAGAAACAGGAAGACATTGCCTGTGAGTGTCTTGGGCAAAAAGGAAGGGAGTAATCACACAGTCCCAAAAGATCAGAGCAAGAGTGGGGCCTAAGGGTAATGTTCTAGTATAGACGGACCTTCTCTGTAGTATGAAGGAGAAAGAAATTCCCCCAGAATATTTTGTCTGAGGAGAGGCAAAGCCCTGCCTTTGGGACCCCAGTCAGGTGGAAGAAAACAGCCCTGCTCCAAGTAACATTTGTCTAAATGGCAATAAGTCTTCTCAGGGAGCCCCAGTGAGAAATGGGAAATCAGCCCTGATCTGATGTGGAAAGACAGGACAGCAGGGACCTATAAGCTGGGATAGAGAACCAGGGGCCCTGCTGGCATACACGGGGCCTTGGCTGGAATTAGAGAAAGGTGTTCTCTGGCACCCTTTCCTCCCAGCTGACACAGCCTGGCATCAGGGTGCAGAGCTTGGAGAGTGGAGTGCCAAGTGAATGGCTGGACACAGCCTCCACTGGATGCCTTTGTATGGGACTCAAACTGCATGGCCCAAAGTGCCAGCCCTGGGGAGGGATCCCTGCTCTCATGAACCCTGGTGTGAGAAGCAGCCCAGTCAGCCCCTGAAAGGACTGCCGTGATGCAGACAACCCTGGTTTGAGGTAGACAAATGACTCAACCCCAGGGAATTCTGGTCACAGAGAGAGGCAAGGCTCTGTCCCAGAAAGTTCCACTCCAAAGGGATAGAGCCCTGCCTTCGGAGACTCATCCTTTCTACTTCACTCACAGCATCAGCCTCACCATCTGCTGAACTAGGAAAAGAGTAACCATCAGGCAAAAATTGCCTCAACTCCCTGACTCCACTCCTCCCCCCAAAATGTGGTGTTTCTTTCATTCTCTAGAGAATATGAGGAAAGTATGGCCCCTCTCACCTAAATAAATACACATAT